TACTTCCTCTACACCATGAAAACGAAGACAAAATAATCGTTGTTTAAGCCTTGAAGGTTGTTATAATAATAATTTTTAATAAAAATTGATTCATTACAAAAAAAAATTTTTCTTATAAATTTAATTTCAATGGTAGGGACAAAACCGCCGAGGACGGGAGTATCCTTAGAGTCACTCATTCCTGGTAAGAATCATTGAATTTGTTATTCCTTACATTATAATAATCCGTAGAAATATAATCTAATAAATTTATTATTATATGCAACCTTAAATTAAATAAACAGGTTTTCGTAGCAGTAGGAAGATTGGACTTGTATGCTTAAAATTATACTTGTATTACACTCGTATGATTATACTTGAATCGATCAACTGAAGTTGGTGCTCGAATCTGACGTCAAAGATCATAGTCTCTGGCCATGCGATACAAAGCGAGAACTTGTATGGATGTTAGGAAGATCAGACACATAAACTGAAGACATTTGATTTATTGAGAAGTTTTAAGATCAATATATATATTTCATCAGGTCATTTACATTAATGATTCCATTATAAAAAAATCAATTAACAAATCAATTGATTAAATTACATTCAAACCCTTTGAAGAAATATCTTTGAAAGAGGGTTATTTTTAAGGAATTCGACCTGATGTTTTTTATGTCGCATGGTTTCGTATGATTATTACATGAGCGATGCAATTTATTGTTATATCAAACATTGTAATGGATATGTCCATATATTGATATGGGGTAGAGTTTCTATTCGTAACTCAGTCTTGATTTTTCAATGACAATATTTGGATTTAAAATATTTGCACGAAAAATTGCCACTATTTAATTTATTAGTTTGTAATCTACTATATCTTGATATCTCACGACTTCTCTTTAATGATAGATGACAAACTTTGTCTGAAGCTTTATTTGATGATGATGGAACTTTTAATGGTATTAAAATGGCAAAGATGGACAATTCTCTTTTTATTTTTTTTTTCTAATAATAATAAATAATAATCAATATCGATTAATTTTCAACAAAAAAAGATAAGATAGAAAAATGCGAGATAGATAAAAGTTGTAATTACTTGCAAGTGAACAAGATAATGCCCAAGAATAAGGTAAAGAAAGTTGAATGAATCGAATTAAATACGCATATATTGATAGAGATGATAATGA